CTCTTCCACCTACAGACATATTACAGCTGTCTGTTTTTGTGGGGGGTTTTTTGTTTGTTTTTTGTTGTTGTTAATCCTCACCTGAGGATATTTTCCTATCCATCTTCAGAGAGAGTGGGAGAGAGGGAAAGACAGAGAGAAACATGGATGTAAGAGAAACACATTGATGGGTTGCCTCTTGTATGAGCCCTGACCAGGGCCCACGCCGGGGAGGAGCCTGCAAGGAAGATAGGTGCCCTTGACCGGAATGGGACCCGGGACTCTGGTCTGCAGGCTGATGCTCTATCCACTCAGCCAAACCGGCCAGGGCCATCCTGCTTGTGTTCTTTGTGTCATTTGCATGGAGGAGAGACTTACAGGACCCGCCAGGTCCTAAAGCTCACAACTAGGAATGCCAAGCTCAGCAGGCAAAATTCTTGTTTCTCTCTTTCTTGTTTTCAACACAAAGCCCTGACCTCTTCCAGCATTTTGTTGCTGGGCTTCCAACTGCTGGGACTAGATGCCATTTCCCCAGAAACTACAGGGGCCCCGTTCACACAAAGACAAAAGTAGTCCCATTGAGTCTGTAGCCCAAAGCCCTAGGAATATAAAGAAATGAATCCTAGAGGCAATAGGTTGCCTCAGCTCTTGCAGCAGGGTGCCCCCTGCCCCCACTCCCTCTGGACATCCCCCTGGACACAGGCCTGCCCTTCACCTTCGACTGCATCCTCTCGTTGCCTGTGATAAATTCTGCCGCGCCCCCTGATGCCCGGGCAATGCCTTTTATGAGGCTGGTGGAGGCTCCTTCGCCAATACCAAATGAGAAACACCTGCGATTGGAAAACAGCTTGAAGTTATAGACAGGGACGAAAGGGTGGCATGATAACATCATGGTCAAAAAACCACATAAAAATACACGAAGAGATAGTGTGCTAGCTAGTATACTTCTGAATAACATACGTTTTTTAAAGAAATCATAATCAGAAAGTAGAGAACACCAATGGAAAATGACATATCCAAATTTAGGATTTAGTTATAGGTATGTTTATAATTCTAGTTCTAAATACACGTCAGAACAAGAAGTATAAAAGTCAACCACCTGAACATCCATCTCCAGATCTTGGGAAAAAAGCAGCCAAAAAACCCACAAATTTTCAAGAAAAGAAAGATAGGGGCAAATGTTATTGATACAGAAGACAATCATATAAAAGAGAGGATATACAAAAAGTGCTGTTTTTTGGAAAAGATTATTAACATGCCCGGCTTGTGTGGCTCAGTGGTTGAGCATCAACCATAAACCAAGAGGTCACTGGTCAGGGATTCGGACTTGATCCCCAGTAGGGGGCATGCAGGGGGCAGCCGACAAATGATGTTTTTCTCTCTATATATCTTTATTCTTCTCCCTTCTTCTCTCTCTAAAAATCAATAAAAACATATTTAAAAAACTGACAAACATTTAGGGCAAGAAAAAAAGAGAAGGCACAAATAATCAGTGTCAGGAATAAAAAGAGAATACTACCACCGATTCTACAAAACTTAATAACATCATCTGGCGACATTGTTGATACTTCATGCAGAGAAATTTGAAAACTTAGATAAAATATACAAACTCCCATAAGAATCAAGAACATATAAAAATATGAACATTTCTATTTCAATAAAGAGATTTAAAAATCTTCCCACAGGAAAAAATCTCCTTGTACCATCTAGTAAACACGTAAAAAAATATTTCCCATAATAGAAAAACAGGAAATTCTTCTCAGCTCATTATATGATACCACTGTAACATAGGTATTAAAACCCAACAAGAATATTATTAAAAAATACATGCCAATATTTCTCATGAAAAAATACTTTTCAGTCCTAAACAATGATTAGTCAATGGAATAAAAAATATATGAAAAAAGTTAATAGATCACAACTAACTTGGGTTTATTTCAGAAATGCAACGTTGGTCTAACATTTAACAACAGTCATTACAATGAACACATTGAAAGAATGAAGGATAAAACCATACTCTCATCTCACCAGATACATAATATGCATTTGATGAAATTCAACCATTCATTCTTATTTTTTTAAATGTAAACAAAAAGAAAATTACTATCAAAACAGAAAAATCCTTAATCGGATGTAGGACATCTACAAAAAGACCTAGAGCAAACAACCACACTATTAATGCAATACGAACCATGTTCCCTCTGAAAATGGACATTCCCCATAAACCCACTACCATGTCAATTCAAAGAAATAGGTGTGTGTACACATGTGAAAATAAATATGTATATATGCATATACAGGTGTACCCACAAGTGTGTGTAGGCAAAAAATACACGTACCAGAATGCAAGGATATTCACAAAACATTATTTTAAACAGCTAAATGGAAGTCCATCAGCAGTAGAATCAATCAATAAATTATGGTTTAGCCATCCCATGGAATACTATACACCAGTGAAAATTAACTATGGTTCCATGCAAAATATGGGTGACTATATACTGTTGAGGGAAAGCAGCAAAATACATAGAATAAAAACTGTGTAACATTAATTTTCATTCAAAAAGAAGCCGAAATAACCCCATAGTATTCCTGTCCATCCTTACTTGTCAGCACTGGAACCACAAGACCCTAGATTACATGTGGCACTACCAGGGTCAGTCACCCAGAAACACACACATTGTCTGCATACCTGTGCCTCTGCCCATTGCTTTTCACTTCTCTAATGACACTGAATGTGTTGTTCACTTCTCCATCTGTGAAGACAAAAAGCTGAGCACAGAAGACATTGGTCAAGTCTCTATGAAGACCACTTTTTTTTTAAAGTTCATTTTTAAAATACCGCAATTTGCCCTTGAAAAACTCGACTATTTCATGCCGGAGACACTGATGCCTCTTCGGACACGTGTGAAATCCCTAGTGGGTCACTGTCACTTGCATCAGGTTTTTACATGGTTTTGGGCATTTTCCTCACCCTACCCGTTTCACCTCAGGCCCCTGTGGCATTCCACCCCCATAGTTCAGAGCACGGAGCTAAGGAAGAGGGATTCTATGAAATGCCTCTTGTCTTTTCCCCTTTACTACATGACAGACAACTCTGAAATGCACACCCTATTGGGACAATCCTGCAATGAAACTCAGGGCTATACATTCTGGAACCGAAGTTGAGTTCTCTCTACCCCCTTTGTGTGAGCGCTGTTTCAATTCTTACCTGGAGAGGGTGGCCTGGGATGGAAGTTCTACTGTAAATGGCCTTGAGTGACAGTAGCAAAATTACAGTTATGAAGTAGCAACGAAAATAATTTTATGGTTGGGAGTAAAATCATGAGGAACTGTTTTAAAGGGCCAGAAGGTTGAGAACCGCTGTTTTAGAGGATCTTTTTTTTTTTGAACTCTCTGTAGCCTTTCTAGAAACTTACGGAAAGAAGGACTCAAAGGACGATCCAAATCCATAGATGTTGAAATAACAGCCTACAGGCAAACTCTTCAGCAGCCAAATCAGTGTTTCCTGAAGGAAGAGAGTATGGGGAGCGAGTGAGAGAGAATCCTTGAAGACACACAGACCCTCCCCATCTAACTCCTGCGGGTGTCGGCCTTCACCCAGAGCGCGCCCCCCAGTCTTATAGTCCTCGGAGTGGTCACGTGAGCTGCAGTGCAGCTGGAAGCACTGATCCAGATGACCCAGATGGACTCTAATGTAACCACCAAGACTCATCCTTACTTGCGCACATGACCAGAAAAAGAACTAGTCTTACCTTGGCCGCCACTATGCGCAGCTGAGATAGATCCTGATTATTCATGGGACAATGCATACTTCCCGAGCGGTCCACGAGGAAGACGAATTCTCCACATGCCGTTGGTGACTGAGCCTCTGGGATATTTGGGTAGAAACTCACCATCGCAGATGGATCTCCCATCAAAGAATCTACTCAGAAAGAATAAGGACACATGAGATGAAAAGGAACTAAAAACATACGTACTGCTGTGGGAGTACTTCTTGGGCACACAAGGGGGAGCTCGCCCAAAGGGAAGGACAAAACCAGGCAACTAATGTACAAAGACCCAGCCCGGAGCTTCATGGGATTGGAGCTGGAGCAAACCTGGCTGAGTCTGGGACCCCCTCTAACGGCCTGCCCTGAGCCGGGGCAGGGGGCGGTGGGGAGTGGATGGTTAAACAAGTGAAGGCAAATTAAGGAGTTCCAATTTGTGAGTTGGAGCGTCAACAATGAGAGAAGAAAAATGGCCGATTGAAGATCAGCTATAGCTACTTATCTTTAAAGCAGTGGAAGCTATGGAAGTAAGAGCCTAACCCAAGACATTGTGTTTTGACTATGATTGTCCCCAAGGATGCGTCATTCCACCAAAGTGGGAAATGCTTCAGAAGTGTCAAGATCTTTCCAGTGACGCTTCATGGTCTCTGTAGTCCAGGGCCACGGCAGCTCAGGGAGGCCCGGGACAGCGGGCCCTGACATGTGTTACACCAGTACAGTTAAAAGAAGAAGTACACAGTCCAGCCGGTGTGGCCTGGTGTTTGAGCAGCGACCCTGGAACCAGGAGGTCATGGTTCGCTTCCTAGTCAGGGCACATGCCCCTGTTGTAGACTCCATCTCCAGTAGGTGTGTAGGAGGCAGCAGATTGATGATTATTCTCATCATTGATGTTTCTCTCTCTGTCTCTCCCTTCCTCTCTCTGAAATCAATAAAAACAAATAAACAAAAAAAAAAATAAAAGAACAGGAAAAGTAGATATATACTAAGGAAAATTTGGAAAATAAGATAAATTAAAGAAATTTAAAAACTAAACCTAGTAAAAAACTTAACTTAGGCTTAGAAATTAAGAAACTAGGTTAAGATAAAAAAACAACAACCCAGGGATGGATAAGGGTGATATTTACAAGATGGTGAATGTACTTAAGGCAACAGAGCTATGTCGTTAAAAATAATTATAATGGTAAAATTTCCATTATGTAAATTTTATACCAAAGTATTAGTTTTCTTTTTACTTAAAATTTATGTCAGATAAATTTTACCACAATTAAAGAAATAACAAAGAACTCTAGGTGAGATTACATGTTGGAATGATAAATCAATCAATAAAAGTTATTTATTAGATAAAACAAAAAATGTAGAATGTAAAGTTAGTCTTAATCTAAGTAAGCATAATTACTACGTGCATATTTCCTGTGGTTTTAAATGTTTTTCTTAATTGACAGGTTATTTTTTTTTTATAGCAATCTGTTTGTATAACTTACTTTTCTTTAACTTAATCCTCGTTGGAAGGCTTTTTTTCTATATTATTTAAATCTGTCAACATATATGATTTTGGTAGCTGCATAATAACTCACCAAGCAATCCCAGCATAGTGATTTTAGCTATTGTGAGACATTTTGATTATTTACTAATCTTTGATATTATGAAATTGGCCATTTTAGTGTATATTTTTACTTACATTTAAATTTATTTCCTTAGCTAAGATTCCTAAAATTGGAATCACTAAAATGAACATTTCTTTTGACACATATCGCCAAATCTCTTCTCCAAAGTTCGATTCCAAATTATTTTTGCTTAAAGCAATCTGCGAGAGTGCCAAATTCACCTCACCTTTTAAAGGATGAGGTGTTCCCAGATTTGGAAATCCTTGATCATTTGAAAAGTGAAAAAGTCACATCATTTACTTTTATTTTACTTTTATTTATAGTTGTAGAGGCTGATCATCGTCCCATATTTTTAAACTACCTGCATTTCCCTTGTAAATTTTTTTCATATCCTGTGTCTAAGTACCTACTAATTCACCAAAATTTACATATAAAACATAGTCACATGATATTCAATATGGAATCATTTTTGCATGCCATAGTGGAAACTAGTCCCTTTTTTTTTTTTTTTTTTTTTTCCCCTTTAAGGAATAGAAAAAAAAA